AAAAATCCAGTCAAGGGAAAATCTCCTATAGATCCTCAGCTTTCTACTTTTTGTGCAATCAGGGCCCTTTTCTAGATAGAGCTAGGGCCTCCTGTACGTGGAAAACAAGTGCTTTGCTGATGCTGTCCCAGCCAGGTCCATATGCTTTTGTTTCCAAAACAGCTGCCTTGGGAAAACAGCTTCAGTTGCGCTGTACTGTACCCGCTGCTTCAGGGAGTTCGTTATCACCACCATTCATCGCTGGCCTGTGATGTCGCATGCGGCATGCCCTCTCCTCCAAAAGCTTTCCGTCGAAAGCAGTTCTCACTTAGCCCTTACGCAATCTCTCCCGTTTGTCGTGCAATCTCTTTCAGCCATGCTCCCCTCCTGTTAGCTCCGCAATGCAAAGTGGTGGTCTTAATGCAAATAATTAGCCTTTTCCCTTGCTCAATCAGGATATGATGGTCCTGGCTGGCCACAGTCGATGGATGAACGTAAAAAAGAGCACTGATACAATACAATATTAATGATAGTGCAAAGACTTGCACGAGCTGAGGCGGCCTGGTTTGACATCTAAGTAACCACCACACATTTGGCTTCTAAAATCTAATTAAATTTCATAGCACAAGAGCAAGGAAGGCAACATATCCATAAAAACTGTTTTTCTTTTCTTTTCATTCATGTCTATAGCCTTGTCGATCGGCTTGTCCGATAAGCCTCGCAAATTTTGTCCTATGTCCACCACTGCATCATCATCATGAAACGATTGAGACCCCGCTTTCCGCTTCGGATGAAAATTCGAAAGCGGCATGTTATGCATGCCAGATTGCCAGTAGTGCAAGTTGTGCGTGCAGGCATATATGGATGTACATCTCGATCGAGACACGGCTTTAGAAATGCCTGAAACGGACGGGAATAAGCGAAAAAGCATCGGCGCACGCCGACCGCGAATCGAGGGCTACTGTACATCGTTGTGCTGCAATTCCATACGAGTTAGAGAAGAAGCACCAGGGAGTAGAGATGGACGGGGTTCCAAGTTCCATTACCGGACAGTGCAAGCGCTGGAGTGACAGCCTCGTGAAGCATCTCAAGTGTCGTAACTTTTCCTGTCACCTCCCGGCAAAAGATGGATTGGATTGGGCCGCCAGCCACCCATATTCCTTCATCCCTGCAGATAACCCTTGCCATCGTCCTCGGAATCTCGCATATGCAGGCATACGTACACATCAGGCATTACCCACTCTAGCTAAATACAGGCCACGCGAGGTGCGATCGCGTGGAGAGTTCACGGTCTTAACCTCGATCATCGACATGAAAAGATCTCTCCGACTCTCCCCGTCGATCGATCGATCGATCTATCGCCGGGTCCTTTATTCCTCTACTAGGCTTTCTGGCTCCGGTCCCGGATTTTGCGGCCTTTAACGGCTTTGATTTCCCTATGATTTTTGGACGGTTCGTAGGGTGGCACCTGCAGGGAACATTCCAATCCCCATTCCCGTTGCGCTCTCGCCTCGACATTGCGATTCTGATTCCGGTTCCTCTTTCTCTATGATGTTGCCTTTTGGAAGCCGTGTGCTGAGAACATGGTGCATTTCCATGAAGCATCTGGTTTCTTCCTCTAATCTTTATTTAGTACGTATGTTAAAATGGATAGGTCTTCTTTCTGAGCTCTAATTAGAAATGAAAAGTTATCAGTACTTGGTGTCACACTATTGCTAAATTTTGAGAGTGGAAAGGGAGGGACGATGGCCATGCTTCCCTGTTCCAGCTTTTCTAATTAGAGCTCAGAGAACCAAAATATCATGGGATGTGTGGTTCTGATCATAATTCGCAATCACACAGCCAAGTTTCAAATTGTACATTCTGTAGGGCAATATTGTATATGTGGTTCTGGTAATATGGTTATCATAATAATATTTATTATAACTAAAATATTATGAGCAAAACCACATATACTTCCTCCGTCCCACTAGTGTCAAAAACGCTCTTATATTATGGGATGAGGGGAGTACAAGAAATTCTTTTGTCTGAAGTGTAGAACTTTGACGTGCTCCATGCACGAAAATATCTAGTCTAGTAAGTGGTTTTCAAAGAGCAGAGTTTCCAAAGCTCCACCTTTCTTTACAGTTTTATATGGCGGAGATATATTTCTATTCAAATGTAAATGTTCACAGCATTTTATTTATATTCTTTACGTAATGTCAGTACCAAATTAAAACACACCATATATCATACTCCCTCCATTTACTTATACAAGGCCACAAACTCGAATTACATGTACCCAAGTAAAAATTAATGTCTCCATTGTAAGCTAGCTTGTCTTCTCGTTTACCGGGTGATTTAATAGGGCACATGCGGATTAGAGAAAATTGAGTGGACGTAAGGAAGAAAATGGTTGAGAGTGTCATTATCATCCATTGCATGAATGCACTAGTTAAATCATGGGTTGCTAGTACGAGGCAACACCATCAATTTTTGCCTCGGTTACTGCCGGTGGCATTGTATAGATGCAAAATATATTTCCCAAAATGGTCTTGTATTTAAAAATGGAGGGAGTATATGTTGCCACAAGTTTTTCCCGCAAAAAAAATGTTGCCTCAAAAAGAACATTTAAATTGTGAATTTTGATTTTTTTCAGAGAACCAAAATATCATGGTGTCGTGGTAGTAATATCTTTGTTTGTATCGTGCAGTTTTTTAATCAACAATGCATAAAATTAATATCAACATTCACTCGAAATATTGTGAAAGGCCGCTTTGATCTGATTTTGG